ATAATTTGTATAATGCAAGCCGAAAGGGATACTAACTTTTGGGGTTAAGACAATTGAGTTATGTAAAGTTTGGAATAGAAAAAGCTATTATACTTTTTTAGAAAAATGACCTTTATACTTTTTTTAAAACATTATGCGGTAAATTGCATTTTATATTTTGTTAAACTCTATGAGAATAGTGAGCTCTCACTAATCTTGATTTAATCTTGGTGGCCCTACACTTTAATTGAGTATGGTGATGTTCAATTTAATTGTTTGAAGTTAAAGCATTAGTACTAGTACTGTAGCTTTATCTATGAGGAAGTTTTATACCAATATAAGTCTATCTTATGATCTTCAATTTAATTTTGACTCATTTTCTCTTCTTTCTCATTTTTCTCTCATTTTTTTTACACTCCTCTGGTTTGTAGGACTGTTTAGCCATTTGGGTAGAAGGATTGGTTGCTGCAAAGTCGTCAGGACTGATCACAGTGATACCATAGGAATTCTACAACAAGTTTGGGGATGATTTGGGTCGCTTCTAAATCATGTGGAAAAACGTTGCGCTTCAGCAGGACACGGCTTTGCTATCACATGACTTTCTCCATAGTTCTCATTGATGAATTGTTCGTTTTTTTTATTACAGTGATTGCCTATGAAAAGCTTGAGTGGGGGAACTTTCATTCTTGACAAGCATCTAGTGGGATTTGACTACGTCTTTGGAGCCGACAGTTATATCCGTCTTGATTGAAGTTTTTCATTCCCCTATCTTGCAACATTTGCTCAGGATCGTCAACACTTTTGCCACCACCAGGCATCTAAAGCACAATATGGAGCTGCGCGAGGTACAAGAGTCGAGAACCAACCCAGGTGATGGCATTTTCAAAAGAAATCTTTCTTAAGTGAGACATTTCTTGAGCATGATACGCTTGTGAAATTTGTTCTCATACTTGTCGTACCTTTGCTCGAACTTTCATCTGAGAACTTGAGGTGTTTCTCAATGGCCTTTGCTTGCATATCTCGCCTCTGTGGAAACGTAAGCACTCAACCAGAGAGAAAAGGCGGTAGCTTGCCTCGCAACAAACTTGTCATTCGGAAAAATCGACTGTGCGTCGTCGTCCAAGCCCAACTGACAGGACCAAGAGCCAGCAGCTGGATCCCAGGAGCTTCGATTCTTTTTGAGCTGAGCAAGCTTTCGAGACAGGCCACCAAGGTTGCTACCGTTGTTTTAAGCTCTCAAACTCACAGATGCCGACTTTTTCAACGTTGTAAAGGTTGTGAATCTAAAGCTTTCGGCGAGGAAGATCCCGCCATGCTCGCTAGCGACCGGATCTTCAACTGCACCGACATAGTCACCTTGAACGTGGTGGAAAAAAGATTTGCATAAGAATATGTTATACGTCAACATTTCAGAAGAATGGATCATGAAGAATTCCAGGGGTGATCTTCCAGCTGCTCCATGCGTTCTTTATGCCTTGGAATGCCGAACTTCCTAGAAACAGAAGCAAACGTTTCAAATCTAGCAGGACAGAGATCTTTGCTGGAATCAATGCTATCCAAGTAGAGCATGGTCTCAAGCACTTGGTTGCCTTGAAAGAATACCACAACAGTTTAACCTCACATATGATCGAATGACACCACGTGCAGCATGAAACACACTGTCTCAGAATGTTTTGTCAGTCAGCGGTGCCTGCCTAGATCTTCGGCCAGAATGTGCTACTTAGAATGACGTTTCGATAATCGTCCAGTTTCCATTTCCCTACAGTGCAAGCAAAGACATGCAAATCATCAGCAACAAATATAATCGCCGCTTTGGAAGCCTGCTGCATGTTATCGATGTCAAGATCGACCGCCAGCGCCACAATCGAAGACGAACTCCATGGTCAGAGCCGGATCACCTAACGGCGACAGTCTTAGAGTCCGATCTATCAAAACACTGGATCAACGATAAAAAAGATTTGGTTAAGATATCATCAACAATTCTTTTTGAAGAATGGATCACGAGAATTCCCAGTGCTCGTCCAGGTTGGCAAAGCTCCAACCGAGACTCAACTGCAATGGTGATTCTTCTTCGTGCGACGGAATCTAGAAACAAAAAAAGAATATGGTCAGGCATATCCCTCCTTCGTCTTACTTACGATTCGGGGCTGCTCCAGCGTCACGTTGGTTTCAAACAGGCACGCATCTGAAAAAAAAGAAAAAAAAGAGCTCGTGAAGGAACTATCCAAGGAGCTTACCTGGGAGAAAACTACCGTCATTCACAATCTGGTCAGCGTACGACTGATGGTGCGATTGCTCCGACCCTGCACAGAAAAAAAAATGGCACCGTTTTTTAGAACAAGGATTGGAAGCAAAGCTACGGCTTCTGGCTCTGAGACTTCTCTATCAGGAGAAAGACCGATGGGATGGATCCAAACGAGAGAAAAAGAGAGAAAGATATGATCCATTCTTCCTCTGAAGCGGCGCGCGAGGTAATTTACCGGATGAAGCAGCGGCCGTGGTGGCGATGGCAGAAAACGCAGGAGAGGAAGAGGCGGATGCGGCGGCCTCCTCAAGGCGGCGGCGCTTGCGTTTCTCGCGGGACTTCTTGTTACTGAACCAGTAGTACACTTTGGAATGGTCGACCTGGCCGACGAGCTCGGCTATATTGGCGATGTTCTCCGGCGATGGCGGCGTCGCTTTGGCGTAGAACTCCTCCAAGATTTGCAGCTGGTAGCTGTTTGGCTCCCATCGTTGCTGCACGCCTACGGGCCTCGGCGGCGCTGGCTCCGAAGAGATATTGGTGTTATTCCTTTGACCTTGCACGGAAGAACGATTGCTATGTCAGTGTGCTTGCAAGCAAAACGAAAACAAACGATCGAGGTGAGCAAAGAGAGAGAGAAAGATACTTCTGTGATGCACATGCAATGCCTTAATCTCCAGGCGCATCTCCCTGCGCTCCTGATCGATCTGATCAGACACGGACGATGCCCGCGATGCCTGCTGCTTGCGCCTCGGCATTCTATCTAGAGATGCAGGGGGTGAAAACAACAGAGAGAAGGATCCTGGAGAAATGACGGAAAGAAAAATCTGTCTTATTGTGTTTCCACCTGATATTGCCTTGCGTCAACCATTTTTACTTACTTTGGGGCGAGCCAGTAAATACGCCACAAATAAACACTTCGCTGCGGCCTACATATATTAATACGTAACGTATGAATATGTGGTAAATGGCTGGTGTACGTGTCGTCTGGGGGAACTACGTAAAGAATGTTAAGGAAGACGGACTCCAGCTTGATCCATACCTTTTAGAAGGTGGCAATTCAACTCGAGCCACGTCACTTCGTTTGCAATCCACCGTCTTCCGTACGAACGTCTTCCTACACTTGGAGTAGAACAAGATGCCGTTGGCAGGGAATCCATCGTCCTTGCCGGATCTCCGAGCCCGAGAGTGGAGAGCCCAGCATCTCTCCAGCGAGACCGATTGTTTCTCCAGCTTCTGTGGATGCCAGGGCCGAGAGTGCCGAGGGCGAGCCCACCTCATAAGAGTTCTAGAGCAACCTCATTGTCGACGTAGCAGGATATTCGCGTTCCAGGAAAGTAGATCCGGCTTTGCCACCCGAGCTCTTGATCGTGGCGTGCCTCAAACTTGGAGTACATTGTGATCAAGCTTTTCACTACGAAGACATCAGATACCCTTGAACTTGATATTTGAGGCTGGTTGGAAATCTAAATCTATACCAAGTCTGCTCCTGTAGCCTCTCCTCCGACCTTTCTCCAAGCAAAAGCTTGTTCCTATGCCGAGATTTCAGTTCCCGGCAGATAGGCCACAATTGGTTCCACACTCTTCCATCTTGCACAGCGTCTCAGTCTAAACAACCAGGAAAAACTTCAACAAAAAACCCAGATGATGACCATGAGTGAAGACTAGCAATCCCTCGGGACAATGAAGATCATATCTTAGAAACAAAGGAAGTCGGTCTTGTATTGTCCTCGTCCGCTGCAAATGCTTTCTAAAATTCCAAGAGTTTGAGATCCTAGGTTGCGATCTAGAAAGCCAGCGTTATATGGAGCTTTTCTCTTCGAAACAATAACTACCTTCGATGCAATGCCATTTTGCGGCATATTCTTCCTTTCTCAGGTCCGATCGTCCCGAGCAGGACGAGCAAAGCTTGGCTGTCACACAAAGCCCTCCCCGAAAGCGGTCCAGCGCCCAGCCGCATCGTCACCCAAGTTGAATGTCTCAGAAGAACATCTTCCATTCGGAAATATGTTTGTAGATAGCTGATGTCTCGTTGAACAAGCCACCACTGATCCTGTACCATAAATGATCAACCAGTTCCCAGGAATGAAGCTGCAGAGATACGGCTAGGCGGCTGGCCGAGCTGCTCCAGGCCGTGGCCCAGTCGGCATCTTTCCAGAAACCCCCTGAGGATCTAACACCTTGGCTCGTTTGTGATAGAGATAGGCGACATGCACTACGTAAGAACTACAGGAATCTCTGTGTCTGATGGAGATCACCGCACGTAGTAGAGGATTGCACACAAAGGGAGCAGCCAAGTTCTTTTCGAGGATACTTCGGAAGTTCTCGTTTGCACTCGAGTTTTTTTCTCTCCTCCCTCGAATTTGTATGCCAGATCTACTGCTGCTTCCAGAATTCGCGAGATACACGCACTCCCAGCGCGATCAACCACCCATCTTCCCGCTGATGATGGGCCTTTAGTTTCGTGGGCCTGGCTGTGACGTTCACCACAGTCGTCATCTACGATCCAGCTCTCCCATTATCGGTGCCGGCGGCACTGATCATCGCCACGATCAGCATCGTGCTCGCCATCCTCACCCCGCCAATGTGATCGCTCCAGCCAATACCCTTGTCAATCTCAGTCAAGATCTCCTCTGCACCGCTAGAAGCGCTGGAGTGCTCGTCTCGCTCGTCAGCATCTTCTCCTTTCCCTGGAAGCTCGTCGAGAGTAGCGATCGATTCATCTGATGTCGAGGGCGATGTCGATTTCGATTCCAGAAGAAGAACAATCCTCGCGATCAGCCCCAACAACCTTCCAGCCAGACGCTACTTCATGGCTGCATCGAGAAGGGGTGAATTGGGTTGCGATGCTGGCGCTCTTCAATGGCGCCTTGCATGCCGAGCGCGGGAGTGATGCAAGCTCCGGGATTTCTTGTCAAGAACTTTAAAAAATTCGAAGCATATTCTTCGTTTTACTTTCTACACAGTAGATTTTCCGGCAAGTCAAGATCGCTTTGGTCGTAGTGGACGGAGACAAGCGTGAGTCCTCGGGAGGGAGCAGTGATAGAAACTCTAGCTAGTTTTTGGCGATCTTTCATAGCCAAGAGCTCTGGAATCACTCGAGCCTCGTGCTCTCCTTTGCCGATCGCAACGATCAATCCCACCTGACGAAATTCCACGAAGGAATTTGAGAGATCCAAGAAGAAAGTGAAGAGAAAACGAACCATGTTTCTTATTTGCTTGTGGAAGAATCCCGTGCCTTCGATTTCGAAGCAAAGAACTGGACCCTGCCACAAGAGAGAAGAGATTAAAAGCCGATTCTTGAGCAAACGAAACCACGCTTGCCTGCTCCAGCAGATCGAAACGCAAGATCTCTCGAACGGGATTTTGCAGGGGCCGGAGCGTCGATGAGTTGCTAAACGTCGAGAAGTCGTGCTTCCCAACGAAGTAGCCGCAAGCTTCCGCCATAGCAGCAACGTCGAGCCTCTCAGGTACGTGGTAAGCGTACAAGCGCAAGAGTGGATCCATGACCGGAGCCACAAAAAGTTTGTACTGGTACCTCTTTGTCCGAGCACAAGCCTGGGCGTGAAAGCTAGATTTCGCTGGAGAGATTTCACGAACACGAATCTCGTGAGGAAGCGTGCCGTTTAGGCCCCGATGGATCCGGCTCAAGTCGCCGATACAAGCAGGAGAATGGAAATGCGCGACCTGGAGAGAGATAGAGAAAGTAGTTGTAAAAGATCGAAGAGAAGAAGAGGGTGAACTTACCTGGCCCAGAGCGTGAACTCCAGCATCCGTCCTACTTGCGGCCGCCATGAGGAGCTCTTCTCGGGTGTAACGCGTTAGCTTTGTCAGTGCATCCTCGATCAATCCTTGGACGGTTGGAAAATCCGGCTGGTACTGCCACCCTTGAGATCAAACCTCTCGATCAGCGAGACAAGCAACCGAGGAGAGATAAAAGTGTTACCAGAGAAACGAGTGCCGTCATACGAAACCACAATCCTCCATTTCAATCGCGTGGGCTTCCAATCGCCCTCCTAAAACAGAAAAAGCTCTTCCTTCGCTTGCATTCGGACAGTGCTAGATCGGACTAAAGCCATCCCACTCGGACAGACCTCGTTGTGTGTCCACAGGCATCTGACGCAAAATCGATGAAAATGGAGCGCATTCGTCGATCGCCGGTTGATTGCTCCAGCCAGCGATACAAAGCTTCCACGGCGCAGGCCACGGAATCGCCCCGGGCAGTGCGCCCTCCATCCCGGCATCGAAGAACCCTAAAACCCGAAAAGCCCTAAACCTTCATTTATCAATCAAAGGTGTGAACGAACGGAAAAAAAATGAGACAAAAACGCGCTGCTGCCCAAAGTCTTTGAATGTGTATCGCGACAAGCTACATACAATAGCCTAATCACCACTCATGGAATTCGAGTGAGAGCACGAGGAGGAAGAAAGAATGGTGGATGCTCTCCTCTCCTCCGCCATAGCCATACTCTGGATCTCTTGTTCTCTCCCCTCCTCTCTCGCGCAGGACCAATTCGCGTCAGGGCAAACGATCGCCACCGCGGGCGCGGCAGCATCGATCTCCAGCGGCAGCTTCTCCCTCGGATTTGCGCCATCGCCGCGCAGCCCCGGGGAATTCGAGCTAGGGATTTGGTACCGCGCGGATTCGCAGCAAGTCTTGGTGTGGGACACTGCCGCCCCGGCGTCACGCGCCGGCGCAATCCTCCAGCTCTCCAGCGATGGATCCCTGGCGGTGCGCGACGGCGCCAGCACCACATCGTGGACGAGCGGCGCCACTGGGGCTTCGTCCGGGCAGCTCCAAGAATCAGGTAATCTCGCGCTCCGGAACTCCAGCGGCCAGGTCGTGTGGAGCAGCTTCGATCATCCCAGCAGCACGCTCCTCCCCGGCCAATTCCTCCCCAGGGGCCGCAATCTCACCTCGCGCGCCGGCGGCTACACCCTCACCATGGATCAATCGGGCAATCTCACGCTTCGCTGGAGAAGCGCGCAGTACTGGAGCAGCGACACCGATGGGAGTGGAAATTCCTCGATTCCCACGAATGCGGTGGTGGATGTCAATGGCGTGCTCAATCTCAACGCCACCTCCACAGTGCGCCAGTTCTTCCCGGAGGATTATGGGCCAGGGCAAAGCCGCCGCCTCACGCTCGACGACGATGGCAACCTCCGGCTGTACACTCTAATCGAGGCGGTATGGTCCGCGCGGTGGCAGGCGGTGTCTGACCAGTGCCAGGTGTACAACTACTGTGGCAACTACGGCATATGCTCGTACCGCGCGGTACCGTCCCAGGCACCGGTGGCATACCGCACGGTATGCGACTGCCCGACTGGGCTGGGCTTCGTGGATCCCAGCCGGCGTAACGCTGGATGCACCAACACCGGGAATGTGGCCAGCGATTGTGCCACCGAGAGCAACCAGCTGATCGCGACGAACTCCACCGCTTGGCTCGACAGTGGATCCACCGTGACATCGAACAGCAACAGCGAGCAGTGCACGAGCAATTGCCGCGGCGATTCCAGCTGCTTTGGCTGCCTCGTCCCAAACGATGGATCCGGCCACTGTGTCCAGTTTCGATCGACGTCCATGAGCGGCTACTCGTCCCCCTCGATCCAATCCACCGCCTTCCTCAAGGTGTGTACCTCGGCCGCGAATTCTCCACCCACATCGGTCTCGTCAGAGCCGCGATCGTCGAATCAGGGGCGGGCAATCGGCATTGCCGTGGGCGTCACAGTGGCGGCGCTGGTGCTGGCGGAGCTGGCGGTGGGATGGGCGGTGTACCGCCGGCGGTACTCGAGACGGGTCCAGGAAGCCGCGCGGCACGCCATCCTGGACTATGCCTCTGGCGCGCCGATGAGATTCACGTACAAGGAGCTCCAGAACGCGACGTATAACTTCCAGACGAGGATTGGCGAGGGAGGATTTGGCCCCGTGTACAAGGGATCCCTCGCGCTCCCTGTGAGCAAGACCGCCATAGCCGTGAAGAAGCTCGAGGGGATTTTCCAGGGGGAGAAGGAGTTTCGTACCGAGGTAGCGACGATCGGGAGCACGCACCACATGAATCTGATGCGCCTGGTGGGATTTTGCGCCGAGGGAGCCGCGACGCGATTGCTCGTCTACGAGTTCCTGCCCAATGGATCGCTGGATCGCTTCCTCTTCCACCACGACCACGACCTGGAATGGGGCCAAGATAGATCCTGGCAATCCAGCGACGCGTCGCGGCCATTCTCGTTGCGATCCAGCGATATTTCGAAGTCTGGAGGCCAGGAAGCAGCATTGCCGTCGCGATCCAGCAATCTCTCACGATCTGGCGCCCAGAAGGCAAGATCCACCGCCACTGCATCCACCAGCTTATCGACATCGTCAAGACCACTCGCACCCGGCGAAGATGAGGACGATTCTTACCAGGAAGCGCGGCCATCGCTGGACTGGCCGACGCGATTCAAGATCGCGCTGGGCACCGCTAGGGCTCTCGCCTATCTCCACGAGGAATGCCGCGAGCCAATCGTCCACTGCGACCTCAAGCCAGAGAATATCCTCCTGGACGATAGCTTCGCACCCAAGGTCTCGGACTTTGGCCTGGCGCGGCTCATCGACGAGGGCAACGCACGCAACCTGACCACTGTGCGCGGGACACGTGGCTACATGGCGCCGGAGTGGCTGGCGAATATGCCCATTACCGCCAAGTCGGACGTGTACAGCTACGGCATGGTGCTGCTGGAGCTGGTGGGCGGGCGCCGCAACTTCGACACGTGCCGCGCGGTACCGCGCGGCATGCAGCGGTACCCCGCGTACCTTTACAGGGAGCTCGAGGCCGGGCGGCTCGAGGGCGCGGTGGACGAGCGGATGTACCGTGCGGATGTTGACGGTGTGCAGCTGGAGAGGGTGGTGAAGGTGGCGTTTTGGTGTATACAGGACGTGGCCAGTGCGAGGCCGGTAATGAGCAAGGTGGTGCAAATGCTGGAGGGGAATTTGGCGGTGCTGCTTCCGCCGCCACCCAAGGTGGCGATGGATTCCTCCGCCTCCTCGTCTGGCAGCGCGACCGCCGCCTCCTCCTCCACTGCGTTCTCGATCTCCTCGCAGTCGTCCGGGACTTCGTCTGCTCCGCATTCGTTGATTGGGAGATGAAACTTGACGGAAACTTGAGAGGAACTTTGTTCCAATACGGATTTGTAAGATAAAGGTGCATTGTTTTGGGAATTGGAAAAAAACGTGCAGAGGAATTTCTTTTTTATCCCGTATTCTTACACGTCATACATAAAGGTTTTGAAATAATTTATTCATTTTAAAACATGAATTTTGGAAAACAATTTCAAGAAAATAGAAATATATGTTATGAAATACTAGATGGATATTTTTGACTCTGACCTAGGAAGACGAAGCGCCGTAGAAGCGAGCGTCCGTACCAAAAACTAGACAAAGTTTCTGGCTGCCAAGTGGAATCGCAAACACAGCATAAAATAATCACCATCGTGTTGTGCTTGCGTCAATAATCTATACACGCCACAACAAAAGGATCAAACTAAACTCCTCCTCTCTTCTCTACGTTTTCCTAGAACTTGACACTCATTTCTTTTTTTTTTCTTTCTTTTTTCCTTCTTCTTAGCTCAGCTCAGAGACAGTCTTCGTCGAACTTCTCGAAAGTTGGATGGATCTCTTCTCATTGCATTGCTGCCACTGCTTGGACTCCTTCATCGCCGGAGATGGGATGGAATGCCGAAGCGTGGAACAGCTGCGAGTCCTGTTGCAAGCTATGGTGGCCGTTCGAGAATGCCATTACGTGGTGGTAGGGGTTACTCGCTTCCAGGTTTCCTGATGATAAGCTCTCAGATCGATTGCTGGGAGCGTTGATGTTGGTGGTGTTGCGGTTGCGGCTGCCGGTGGAAGTGTTAGATGTCACGTTTGTCGTCGTTGTCTCGGTCTCGTTGTCTTTGTTGGTCTTTTTGTTGAGAAATCTGCCCCCACAGCCTCGAGCTCTCCGTAAGGCGTGGAGATGCCGGGATTCGTGTAGGTAAGGCTGTTCAAAGTTTCCAAAGTTTGATCAGAAAAAAAAGAAAAAGCAAAAACGAAACAAAGAGCTTTTCTAAGATTGCCGACCTTGCGAGTTTTGATCAGTCTGTTCTCCGACTCGGCTTTCGCTCGGCTTTGCCTGCGGCGAAGGATGCCGTGATACTGCTTCGCATTGACATAAACCGGCTCTTCTTCGAGAATTTCCGTTGGAAGTGGCATGCGAGCTTGCTGGAGTCCAAGCACATGAGGTTGGACCTGCGAAACAAACAAACCATTAAAATCTCAACCTTGGATCCAACAAATCCACAGTTCTATAGCTTACTAAGCCCTGGCCTGCATACGCCGCCGCCATCATGCCACCAAAGAAGGGGTCCGAATATGGATACGCGGCTTGCACCTATGAAAACCAGTTCTACAAGTTTAAACACTAGATATATAGGAGACGTAAAGCAACTTACATATTCGCCAGGAGGCGGTGGAAGCCCGGCCAGTGCTGGATTCTGCTGCGCCTGCTGGTGCTGCGGCTCATCGCCACCATTCTCATCATAGCCTGTATAAGAAACGAAGGCAAGAAACCAGGAGGAACACCCAAAAAACAAAGTTTAGAACAGCAATCGAGGAGCAACTTCAAAAGAAAAGGAACAAAGATCTTAGTCCTAAAGTACATACTGCAAGAAGAACTGCTGCAAAACCTTGCGATGCATTCAGCATCAGTACACGAGCTCTCTTAACTCTAAAACTAGAAAGCTTCAAACATGAAACCATGGTTAGGACAAAAAGATTAACGCAAGCAAGAACGAGCAAAAGAAAGAAGGAAAAGAAGAAGAGAGAATTCCACACCGGAAGGAAGAATTCGACACACACCTGTGGTGGAATTGTGCGCGGCAGACGCTACCACTTGCTTATCGGGAGCTGCAGAAGGCTGCTGTGGGAGATGGCAGACTCCACCCCACCATGGAACTCCAGGCGCGGACGACGATCCAGCAGCGGCGGCGGCGGCGGCGGCGGCTGCTAATTGCCCATCCGAATCCCCTGATTGCATCTCTGGAGAGCGAAATTTCGAGAGGAATGAGCACCAAATCCGCAAGAATGAGAATCAAAGAACCCGACTCACCGCTGTGCTTGAGCGTCGACAGGCGACGAGCGAACCAGGCAGTGAGAGAGGGAGAGGGAGGGAGAGAGAGAAAGAGAGGGAGAGATTGGGAGATAGAGAAAAGATCCAAGAAGAAGAACAAAGAGCCAAAGATTGTGAGCTCCCCTACTTCAACCTCGAATGCTGCCGCTGCTTGAGCTTGACGAAGAAATCGCGCCTTGTGATCGCCATCGCCGTCGCCATCCCCCAGCCCTGGAAACGAAAAGAATCCTCCTCCATAGTAGCAGCGCCCCCGCCAAATCGCTAGCGCTCGCGATTTCTTCGCCCCCGCCGCGACGATCTAGCCCTCGCCAATGCTCCTCGCGAGCTTCCAAATATGCCAAGAGATCGCCCCCACACTTGCCAAATTTTGGAAATCGCTTCCTCGCAGACCCGGCTATGGCGTCAACATTGGGGTGGAATTTGTTACCCAGCGGGTAAGAAGTTTGGTTTTTCACCCCAGGGTTTTGTCCCGCCAACCGGTTCCAGCCGGTGGACCTGCAAGGGGGCGTGGGCACCGCCACGTCAGCCACCGCGTGCGCGCCACGTGTTTGCCGCTGATGCCGCCGCGTGCGGCGAATCTGAGGGGAGGGATATCCCACCGCATATCCCTCGTGACAAGCATACCAAGAGCTTTGGATCATTTTCGCGCGATCGTGTCGATTGACGCCAGTGTGTGTTTGCGTCGATACGTTATTTGCCTGGATTAAACTATGGTGTCGCGAGTGACAACGAAAGATCACTAGGTGGGCATCGACAAGCAAAAAAAAGCTCACTTTTTTGGGCGATTGCAAACTCGTTTGACACCATCGATCACCGCTGCGGGAGCTTTCCGAAGATCCCTGAAAGACAAGTGGAGTTAGAAAGCTTACGTACCGCGTGTGTAGATGAAGAGAGTTCTTATATGAGAGACACACGGACAAACTCTGTAAACGAACCAGTCGGGAATGAAAACAAAGGCCACTGCGAACGCGAGATGTTTATTGCCCTGCAGGATCGTCGTCAGCTTACCATGACAAACCAGCTGTCTAGTTTTGGTTTTACCTCAATTTCTCATCCATGGCATCCTCCTTAATCGAGGAACTCACGAGCGAAAAGAAAAAAAATTGAGTTTTATCTTACAAGGAACTTTTGATCGATCCACACGAGAATCTGCAAGTCAGTAATCAGGTGAGAGAGATCCACAAGGAGCGATACAAGTAGAACATACCGATCCGATCCAGGATTGTCAATAAAAAGCGCTCGTTCGCTTGTGCAAGCTCTGACAAAAACAAAACGTCATGCGGTGTCTCTTGTCTCGTCGACAAACAAAGCAGCTGTTTCCAGACATGGAAGCATTTATCGCAAAAATCTCTTCGTAAAAGCAAAAAAGAAAAAAAGAAAACCACCGAGGTGGAAAGGATTGCTCTACATTTACCCGAGAAGTGTAGAGCAATCTATCCACTAGCTGTCGTCTGGTCTCTGTCTTTCACCTGATCGAAAAGAGTTTGAGATTATTCAAGACGAGAGTCTCTGAGAACATACCTCGGCATCCTCACGGATCTTCCTTGTTGGTGATCTCATTGTAACAATTTCTTCGGCAGAAGTCGGATGGATTCCAACGGTAGCGTCGAAGTGATCCTTTGTCAAGCCTGCTTTCACCGCGATTCCAACCCCCTCCAAAAGAGAAAAAGGATATCTTAGCCTCAGACGCATCGAGCAACTTATACTTCAACCTGCAAAATCTCCCCGGCATCCTCTCCACACATATGCACTCCTACAACTTTGCCGGTAGCGCAATCCACGATCATTTTGATAAAGGTTCGGTCGCTAAGACCGGAGAGCGTTGCCTTCATTGGACGAAACGAGGATGTGTACACATCGATATTTCTCAATTCCTTGATAGCCTGCATTGTCAAAAAGTTCCAAAAGCCGTGTCCGTGAAACAGCCAGCATCACCTGTTCTTCCGTAAGACCAACTGTCCCAATAGGAGGCTGTGTGAAGACTGCGGACGGAATGTTGCTGTGACAGCCAAACTGCATCAGCTAGCAGCCAAAACGAGCTCGACACTTACTTGTAGTCAGGCTTTGTAGGACGATCACCAAACACCGTCTTGGAAAATGCCATGCCCTCCATCAGAGCCACAGGCGTCAAGTTCGTTCTGTTGGTTACATCCCCCACGGCCCAAATCGAGTCCACATTTGACTTTGAGTACTCGTCTACCTGTCGACAAACCAGCAAAGAAAAGGATAGGCAAGAAAACAAGCGAGTTGAAGCTATACCATGATGGCTCCATTCTTTCCGAGACGGACCCCGATGTCTTCGAGTCCCAGGTTCTGCGCACACGAAAACTTGTTAGCCAGCGCTCGCGGGAAAGTTGTACAGACCTTCGTATTGGGAGCACGCCCCGTTGCAAACATCACACATTTTGTCTTCTCCGTACTTTTGTTGGTTCTCAGAAGGAGCGAACCGTCCGGACACTTTTCTACAGCTTCCGGTGACTCCTCAAAGTGGAACTTCACTCCTTTCGCTGCCATCTGATCGGCCACGAAATCCCGGATCTGCATCACAATATCTAGTACGCCAGTGCAGCGGGAAGAGCACGGTTACCTCGTCATCGAATCCACGGAGAACCTTAGGACCACGTAGAAAGACATGGACTTCGCTGCCGAACCCGTTAAAAATGCTGGCGAATTCCAGTGCAATGTAGCCAGCACCAACAATGCATATCTTTTCTGGCCTTGCAGGCAAATCCAGCGCGTGGTCCGATGTGATGACGAATTCCTTGCCAGGAATGTCGGGAACCGTGGAACGTCCACCCACTGCCACTAGTATGTATTTTGCAGTGTACTTCTCTTTGCCGCTGACTTGAACAGTATGAGCGTCGAGAATCTGAAAAGAAATCGGGGACAAGAACAAAAAGAGAGAGAGAACACAAGCTTTTAGCTTTGACAAGAAGCAAGGAAAACAAGAAAAGCATACTTAGGAGGTTAAAGGAAGAACCTTTCCACGGCCTTCCACGAGCGTGACACCGGCCGAGCTTAAGATCGATTTGTAGACTCCGATAAGGCGCTGGAGCTCCGTGTTCTTGTTCTTCATCAGTGTCTTCCAGTCGTGCCTTGGTGGCGAATCATACGACCATCCAAATCCTTTGCTCTCATCGAACTCATGGGCGAAGCTGGATCCATAAACCAGCAGCTTTTTGGGAACGCAGCCTCGGAGAACACAGCTGCAAGGAAATGCAGGCAAGATCAAAAGGAGCAACACAAAAAGCTGGTTTCCGGAGCTCAAATCCACACACACGAGAAAGAAAAAATAGAAAACTTACGTGCCACCGACGCCGCCTGCCTCGTCCGACGAGATTGTAGCGAATGGAAGCTCGACGACGGCCACTCGCGCACCGAAATTGGCAGCGAATCGCGACGCTCGCACGCCGCCACTTCCAGCGCCAATAGTGATCAAGTCGTAGTCGAATTCGTGCGATGCCGATGCCGCCATTGCTCGGATGGCGAACCGAATGCTGCTGCTGCGCCGCGGCGCTGGCGATTCCCAGCGCGAAATCCAGGCGGAGCTGCCGCTCCTCGAGCAAAATGGAGCAATTCTCACCATTGCCATGGGAGAGCCCTAGAAATAGAAACAGGGTTTTAGGGCTTTGGGCCAATCCTTTATAATTGGAATAACGGGAGAGTCTAGGGCAGTTTTGGAGCTCGATTGCCTGGAGCAATGCAGGCGTTGCGAAGAATTTTGCCCTCATCGATTCGTCCACGCGCGCTCCTCCAGGTACGCATCGAGAATCTCCTCGCGATTTCAAGCCCTGGGAGATTTTTCTCACGAAATCCTTGAAACGACAGGGTTTTCGGGATGCTAGGCTCTATTCCACTGCTTTAAATCTTGTAAGTCTGTCTATTCTTCCTGCTTCTCACTGCTAAGTTACTTTCTTCTTTCCTTTGCTTCGTCCTTGTTTTCTCTATCAGCATATAAACAGCCAAGACAACAATGAAAACACGCCATTTGAGTTTACGAAAGCAAACATGGACAAGGTATGGAAGATCTTTCATCGTATCTAAGCTTGGGATGACGAATTTTTTTCTTCCTCCTAGGCAAAAGAAATCATGTCTCACTATCCACTTAACTATAAGCAGTCCGCGGTGATTCCACTGCTGGATCTCGCTCAGCAGCAGCACGGAGGCTGGCTTCCAGTTTCAGCGATGAACAAGGTAGAGTTCTTCTTTTTTTTCTCTTTGGTTTCCATTAGAACTGTCGAAACAGATTGCTGAGATCATTGGAGTTCCCAGCATCCGGGTCTACGAAGTTGCAACATTCTACTCCATGTTCAACAGGACGAAGGTAAAAATGGAATTTTTGTGCGTGGTTCTGGGTTTTCATGAGCTTTACAGGTGGGAAAATACCACATACAAGTCTGTGGAACTACACCGTGCATGATTCGTGGCTCTCGAGACATCGAGGCGGCACTTCTCAAGCACCTGGGCGTAAAACGCAATGGTGATGGATGACGATTTATTCCTTTTGGGAATCCATACTCACAGTTTCCTTGCAGAGGTGACCAAGGACGGGATGTTTTCAGTCGGCGAAATGGAATGCATGGTAATGTTGGAGTCTCTTCATATTAGTTTGTTTCACTCACCAATGGAAGTGATATGGCAGGGCTGCTGCGTAAATGCTCCCATGGTCGTGGTCTCCGATTATACCAATGGATCGGAGGGATATAGTTACAACTATTACGTAAGATTCATCAAAACCTCTATAGTCACTGCTTTACTGATTTCACAAACAACAGGAGGACTTGACGCCTAAGCGTGTTGTCGAGATCGTCGAGATGCTGAGAAAAGGAGAAAAACCACCGGTAAGCTCAAACTTTCCTCGTTTCTTTCGTGAAAAATAGGCTGACCTTTCACTGTGAAGGTTGGCACGCAAAATCCTACGAGAATAAAATGTGGACCAGCAGGAGGAAACACGACACTGCTGTCAGATCCCAAGCCACCTCCTTGCAGAGACTTGGACGCTGTCTAGTGGGCATCCTTAAAAAAAAATAATTCGCTACAGACATTCATCATAATCTACATGTAACTTGTCTAAACTTGTATGACAAAAAATTTCATGCCCAATAAGCTCAAGAATTTTGCAAATTGGAATTATTATTAAGCTATTGTGAGGTTGAAGTGTATGGCTATGGTCGTGGCTGTGATGTTTACTGTTGGGCGTGTGATGAAGTTAGTCACATTTATCAGTGTTGTTGTCATTTTCTAGATTAGCAACTTTCATTTTCTGGGTAAACACTTTAGCGTCAATAACATTCTGTTGGTGTTGTTGCAATGGAAGATTTAGATACTGAGATGCGTCTAGAAAACGAAAAGTCACACGAATAATAGAGGGATTTTGCACGAATAAGTCAATGACCCTTTTATATTTTTTTCAAGAGTATCATTAAGGGGTGATACTTGGCACCAGTTTGTTTAATGTTTATTTTCCAAGCTTGTTTTTATAACAAAAAGTCTCATATTATTCTCTTTGTATTAGTTGATATAAATTTGAGTTTATCTTCTATTGCTCAACCTGTTGCCACCAAGTCAAGCTTTTGACCTCATCTTTAGTATGAATTAGTTGCAACACAATCATGCCAAATATAACTTTGAGGCTTCTCCCCATTATTTCATACTTCTTTATATTTTATCCATTCTTCTCACTTTTATACCTTTTCGTCCCTTTATTTCTACCTTTGCTTTGATTACTTTTGTCTCCCCACTACTTCCTTTTATGTTTCCATCTTGTTCTGCTCTACCCTTTTTCAATCCCTCTAACAATCTTTGTATTGCAGCAGTTGACTTACTCATGAAGGAGTATACCGATTTCTTTATATTTGACCTATCATTTGGGGCCAAAATTGCCACACGTCATCCGATTCCAATTGGGAATGCTCGTCCAATTAAAATTCTTGTTCATCATCGGTCACCCAAAAAAATTAAGATTTTACATGCAAACGTTAAAGAGATGTTAGAAAAGGGTGTTATTCGAAAATTACGGAATCTTTAAACATGTGAACCTTATCTTGTGACAAAGCCTAATGAGAGAATTTGTTTCTACATTAATTATCGTTTTTTAAATGAAGTGACAATCCTAGATGTGTACCCTCTTTCTCACATTGTTGATCTCTTAGATTGTCTGGGGAGAAGCCGTTAGTTCACCAAGCTAGATCTTACTTCTGGGTACTAGCAAATACCAATGGTCGACAAAGATATTCCTAAAACTACTTTTTGTACACCATTTGGTTTGTATGAGTTCTTGGTGATGCCATTTGGTTTGAACAATGTTTTAGCAACTTTCCAGCGGATGATGGATGAGGTTCTTTATGATATGTCGGAAGTGATTGCTGACTTCATTAATAATTTCTTGATCCACTTGGAGAGGACATGGGAGAAACACATATATGATGTTTGTAAAGTGTTGGATCGACTACAGGATGTTGGTTTAAAGTTGAAGCGGTCGAAGTGCGTGTTTAGGTCCAAGGACACAACTTATTTTGGGTACTGTATTTTTCGTGAGAGTTTGCAAGTTGATCCTGACAAACTTATGGCTATTCTAAAGTTCCATACTCCGAAGTGTGTAAATGATATATTGTAGTTCCTGGGCAAAGTGCAATATCTTGGTTGTTTTATGGATCATCTTTTTTATCGCACTGCACCATTGTGAGCGTTACTAAAGTCATTAACATCGTCTTTCATTTGGTCTGCAAACTATGAGCAAACATTCATGGATCTCAAAGAGTTATTGACAACTCCTCCAATTTTGGGATATCTTAACTATACTCGACCTTTCATTTTGCGCATGGATATCTCTGATATCGGTCTTAAAGTTGTATTGATACAAGAGAGCCTGAGTGTGCTTGGTTAATGCTATTCTATTGCATACATCAGCTATAAATTACAACCAACGGAGGTGAATTATTCCATGACAAAGAAAGAGTGTTTAACAATAATCTAGGGTTTTGAGAAACTTCATGCATATTTACATAGTTCTCAGACGTTACTTGAAAGTGATCATGTTGCCGTTATTTCATTATTGAAGTGGAAAAACCTAGTTAGTCGTATTACTCAATGGGCTTTAAAGCTTCATATATATAATTTTGATGTTATTCATCACCTAAGGAGTTTTATGGCTAATGCTAATGCCTTCTCTCAAACTCCTCTTCCTTCTTCACTCTCTTCTAATGTTTTTGATGAAACTGTTATTCTAACATTTATGGATTTTCTAGATGAGGATTCTATGCTGTCAGCAATTACTATACTTGACGTTTAGTGTCCACAATGTATAGAGCAAGACTTACCTTTTCTTGATGAGGTTCGTGAAGCTCAAAGGATTGAGTTGTGGATTCAAAAATTTCAAAAAGGGTTTGAGAATTCTGCATCAGTTCTTGATGACTTGCCATTTCGACATTTACATTCTCAATATCACTTTGAAGACGACCTTCTTTATTTTGTGGGGATAGATCATGATGATCATTTACAGCTAGTGGTGCCTTCAATATTTATTCTATGGTTTCTCTATACCTACCATAATTTTTCTATTCTAGTTAGGCATATGGGATATCATCGTGTGACCGAGAAGCTGCATAGGTCTTTCTATTAGTTGAAAATGCAACATAATGTTATCTAGTATGTGTGTAGTTGCATTTAGTGTCAAGCTTGTAATACTCCCCCTCGTGTTGTGGAAGGATGATTGGAGTCAATTGCAATTTCCCATCCGTTTGAGTTGGTGGCGTTTAATCTTATGGAACCTTTTCCATGATTGATTGTTGATAATGAATATATTATTATTGCTTCTAAATATTTGATTCGTTGGGTGGAAGTTGGTGCTTTTGCTAGCACCTCTACAACTGTTGTTAGATACTTCCTCCTTAATTGAGTGGTGTTTCAATATTCTTGTCCGGAACAGATTCTTTCGGATAATAGTCCTGCATTTATGGTTAGGTATTTCATGTTTTGATGTCTCAATTGAGGATATGCCACACTTTCACGAGTGTTTATCATCCACAGTCAGACAATTTGGTGAAACGGCTCATTCGGATGTTCAAAGGGATGTTCACGAAGTACATGAACTTTCAGCATTCGAATTGGGATAGTTATTTGCCATCTCTTTGGTATGCATATGTCATAAGGGTGCATAGTTTTGTTGGTACTTCACCATATAAATTCTTATATGGTTATGATCCAATATTACTAACGGAGTTGGGTTTACCTTCACAATTGTCACGAGCTGCTGATGCTAGGTCATGAGATCAGTATTTGACAAGCATTCTTCCACTTGTTCAAGTAGAGTCTGCTAAACACTTAAGCCACGTACAAGTAGAACAACAATAGTGTTATAACTTTCATCATCGTCCACTTACAGAGTATAAAATGGATGATTTAGTGTTAGTCTGTTTTCCCCATCTTACAGTACGTGGTTTAGTGAAAAGGACCATATCGAGTGTTGCGGCAAGTTGAACCACAAGTTTATGAGGTTTGACATGACATTCAACAAACCAATCCTCCAGAAATTGTGTATGTGCAACAGTTGAAACACATTATATAAAGGGATTAAGAACAATTAATACCATCTACAGATCCACTGATGCTTCTTTTTAATGTTCTACCAAATCTTAGCTTATCTGCAAGAGAACTTTGATGGTCTTCCATTATTCTTAGAAGGGATGATGTAAGGTCCAAATGTACAATTACGATGCTATATATTAATATTAGTGTAGTGGGATTTTAGTAACTATCAAATTGGTTTCAATTTGGACCATTTACTTCTGTATATAAGCTAGGATTTTTGGACTAATTGATCCCTTTCCATATTCCATGCACTCACACTACAAAATTTATAACTTAGAAGAAAATATTATTATTTGTATATTTATATTTATTAATGGAGCTACATTGTTATTAGAATGTTAAAGACATAGTTGTGCTAATTAGAAACAAAGCGGGGATAGCTCAGTTGGGAGAGCGTTAGACTGAAGATCTAAAGGTCGCGTGTTCGATCCACGCTCACCGCATACTTTTTTTGTTTATTCTTCTTAGCTCAAGCATATCCAAAGATGCTTTGAGATAAGCGTGGGCTTTCAAGACATCGTACACGTGTGTATCGCTCTAAACCTCACGTTTGGCTAGGTTTTGAATAGATCCTTGCCTGGGAGCTTTTAGCGAGCGGTCTCTCTCATGAGGTATGAAATCTCTCTCGATTCGCGCAGATCGGTCGAAATCCTCGCGTTTCCAGGCGCGCTGTGATCGCCGCCGCGAATGATGAAGCTCGTCGAGAACAATGTCCTGGTCGTGCCTCCGTTCGACTGCGCGTGGCTGTTTGAGGAGGAGCTCCGCTTCCCAGAGGCTGGCAGGGGCTGCGTAGCATTCGAGGCCAGGGCCGAGAACGATGTCACAGTGATCTTCAAGGAGCTCGCCGGGTGTAAGCACTACAGGACCGACAGCGATCCAAACTACACGGTGATTATCGGGAGCAACTTAAACAAGAGGCTCAAGATCGCCGCCAATGGAAGAACTGTGGTGGATGTGGCTGGTCCGGTGGTGAGTCCTCTGGTTTTCGAGCGCTACTGGATCAGTGTGGACGAGGGATCGATCGTGGTGGGAAAAGGAGAGCTCGGGCAGAATGTGGTCTACCAGTGGGTTGATCCAGAGCCGAACTGTAAGGTCCAGTTCGTGGGACTTAGCAGCTGGGACAAGCACGTCGGATACAGGAACATCAGTGTCGCTGCTCTTCCGCCATGCCTCTATAGGACAACCTCGGCGATCGATGCTCAGTGGAGCACTGGGCTGGCCAACTTTCTGGAGAGCGGGGACTTGTCCGACTTTGAGTTCGTGCTCTTCCCGGAGAATAGAAGAGTTTGTGCTCATCGGGCGGTTCTAGTCACTGGATCCAGCTCCAAGGAGTGTCCGTTTCTGACGACGACGGAGCTGGAGTTACACGGCGTTGATTATTTGGTGCTGCATGCTGCTCTTCGTTACGTCTACACTGGCAAGGCGGAGGTAAGAAACAAAAGCTGTATTGTATAGAGATGTAACCAGAGGTTTTCTGGCAGATTGGCAAGGAGCACTTGGTTCAGCTGCGTGGACTCGCTGAGCTGATTGGGTTCCAGAATTTA